CCGTGATTCATTTTGATTTTCCTATGCTTCTTTAAGTCTTAGATCATCATGCAACCTACTTTCGATTCATGAAATCTTCAAGCACTTTATGGTGTAACTTCTTTTTATCCCTCTATAGACTATTTAGTAGATTGTTATAAATATTTTTGTTACACCTTTAATAAATGATATCATCGGATAGAAATATTTCTTGGCTGAATTATATGTATACAGTTCTTTTTATTATTTTCAGTCAGAGTCATTGAAAATCGAAGAGTAATAGACAAACTATGGTTTGCTTCAAATTTTCATTTCTTGGTAGTGAGCAAAACTCAGGCGAGTCTCAAAACTGCAATAAATTATTTCCTTTAGGTCATACGCCAAGGAGGTCAGTTGAAGAACACAAAGACAGAAACGGCAACTTAAAGTTAGATGGTTAAGTCGTAGAGGGATGTAAAGGCAGAAAATTATTTATCTCAGACATTTGGCATCTGCAACAATGCTGCTTTCTCATAATGGAAGGCAGATCTTATAAAAGGTTAACCCTGAAAATGTCACACCTCATTCTACTTATTTACGCCTGTTACCTCTCATGAAGAGGGGTGTTCGCCGCCCACTAGGATTCTCCATCGGGCTATGTCCTAGACAGTCCTTTCCAGTTGCTATCCACTCTTCTGATATCTGTCTGCGATACTCCATGCAATGTGTTCCTTGGTCTGATTTCTCTTCTTTTACCTTCTGAATTCCAAGTTTTGGATTGCCTTATGGTGCAGTTTTATGATATGCGCAATATATGTTCTATACAGCATCAGCGCCTCATTCTAATTCCCTCTTCAGCTTGAACCTGGTTCTCTTATCTATTACAGCAGGTTGTTGTTTTCTTTACGATAGAACTGTCTTGATGCTCGTATTGGGGGTCCTGATTTTGACGTTGGCTGACATTTGTTTTGAGTTTTAAATGTCCCTCGATTGTAGGAATGTTGCCCTTGATTTTTCATTCAATTCCTTCGTATTTACATCAAATCCTCCTTGTTTATCAATGATATTACCCAGGTACAATAGACTCCACAACTTTTTCAGAGCTTCTACATCAAGATTGATTTGGTTGGTGCTCACTGCGTTGTAATTTGGATTCTGGATTTTCCCTAGTGTATGCTTAGCCATATTACTGCGGTGGCTGCTGCTACAAAGGGTGTCTTCACTTGCATTTGTTGTTGTGTGTATGGAGTAGAAAAGATAGTTCATCTGCGAAATCCGAATCGTCTAGCCGCATCCAATCTCTACATTGTATTCTGTGCTAAACCTGATATATGATATAATTCAGTCGACCGCCAGAAGTAAAAGGAAAGACGAGAGTAAGTAGCCTCGTAGGACACCGGTCTCCACTCGAAATGCATTTGCCAGTTGTTATCCATGCACGACATTGCAGCGTAATCCATCATGTGAATCCCGGATGATTTTGACGATTTGCCCAGGTACACCAAGGTGTCGAGGAAGTTTCCATAAGGTCCTCCTACCCACACCGTTAAATGCTCTCTCATATTCAAGGAAGTTGATGTGTGGTGGCGAGTTCCATTCAATGAATTGTTTAACGATGATCCGTATTTTCGTGATTCAGCCTATGAACAACCGATCGTTACGAAATCCGGTCTGTTAATCTGGAAGTTGGGCATCTACTGAGTCTTCCATCCTGTTCAGCAACACTCTGCTGGCCAATTCAAGAGTCCCTCGAAATGTTCTACCCATCTGTTCCTCTGTTCTTGAATCTCAGTGATTGACTTGCTTTCTTTGTCCTTGACTGTCTTCTCTGGTTCACAATATTTCTCCGCTAGTTTTCTTGTTGCATCATATAGTTGTCTCATATTTCTTACTCTTGCATCATTTTCCTCTGCTATTGCTATGTTTCCCAAATATTTCTGCTTATCAGCTCTAATGTTCCTCTCTACTCCCTTGTTAGCTTCTGTCCAACGATGCTTCTTGGGACGCAAGACCTCTTGAGACGCTGAAGTTATTGCTTCTGTAACGTATTTCAAGTTGTTCTATGTGGTAGTTTCCTCTTCGTTGTGTAGGTCATGTACGATATGGAAGTTGTAGCTGTGAGTTATTTTGAATTTATCGAGTTTTTAGTATCTCGAAGGGAGACTGTAAGAAACCGTCCTAATTCTGTTTCTCTAGTTATCTAGTGCTTCTTTAGTGTGAGTTTTATCCTGGCCACTCTTAGTTGGTGATCTGAAGCTTTGTCAGCTCCTCTCTTTGTTCTTACGCATCTCACTGATCTTCCAATTGTTTTGATGGTGTAAACATGATCGATACGGTTCTCTGTAGTGCCATCTCGCGAGACCCATGTGGCTTTGTTTATGCATTTGTTGGAGAATATGGTATCAACTATTAGCATTTTGTCGAACGTACATATATTTGCAAATCTGTCGCCATTCTCGTTCCTTTCTCCAAGCCTTTGTAGTCCCTTGATATCTTCATACCCTGTGTTGTCCATTCCGACTCTGGCGTTTTGGCCTCCCATTAGGAGCGTTAGGTCTTTTCCTGCGCACTTCTCTACGATCAACTACAGCCTCCCATAAAACTGTCCTTTATTGTCTTCATTGCTATCATTGGTGGGTGCATAGCAGTGGATGACATCGAGTGTGATCCCCTGCTTTACTTTCGAAGATGCTTTGATGAGCCTGAATCCATGAGATTCCCATCCTACATGTACTTTTCGCGCTTCTTTGGACGAAATCAGAGCAACGTCTTGTGTGTGGCAAGCATTTTCTTCGTGAACAGAGTACAACAGCACATCTCCCGAATCTAATCTTTTCTGTCCAATTTTGGATCCAATGGGTTTCACTGATTCTAAGGACCACCACATTTTATCTCCTCCTTTCCACAGCTACTTAGTTGGTCCTCCCAATCTCCCACATTGTCCGAACATTCCATTTACCTATGTAAATTTCTATCATTAAAAGGACGAGTATACTGCGCGGCAGTTCGTTCTGTTTTACTTTACGGCAGCGAAACATGGCCCTTAAGAGTAGAAGACACCCGTAAGTTACTAGTATTTGACCACAGATGCCTTAGAAATATTGCTGGCATCTGCTGGGATCACCGGGTAAGTAATAGTGAGGTTAGACGCAGGGTATTAGGGAATGATGGTAAATCAGTTGATGAGGTTATGAATCTTCATCGACTGAGATGGTTGGGTCACGTATTACGTATGCCTGAACACCGATTACCACGACGTGCAATGCTAACCGGGGTAGGGGATGGTTGGAAGAAAGTTAGGGGCGGCCAAACCAAAACGTGGCATCAGTGCCTGAAGTCACTAACTTCTAGTCTGAGCCATGTTGGTAGATGCAGACTACTTGGTTGGGGTCCGCGTGACTTTCGTAACCAATGGTTGGAGACTCTTGGTGACATGGCTCAGAATCGATCACAATGGCGTCGGTGTATACACTCCCTGTCTTCCCTTAAACTAAGAGACTAAAATAACTTCATTCTTTCTGTCTACGAACTAATTCTTTCTTCCTATACTATATCCTTATTGCAACCTTTGACCTAACCACTCCTATGAATCCGCTGTTCATCTTGCTGTGCTAATGAGGTATGGCAACCTGGACCGATGCACATATGTGCCTGGTCCTACGTTGTAGCTGACTGACTGACTGTGGTTGCCCCAGAGATGATGCAACACAGTGGCTTCAGACGTTATCAGACATGGCTCAGAATAGAAGGCAGTAACGATCCTGCTGTAACTCTCTATTACTTTCCTCATAAATGTGAACGTAACTTTCTAGTTGAAAGAATTCTTCCTGGTTGTATTTCTTCTAATTGAACTGCTTCTTCCGTTATTATTATTATTATTATTTCACTCCCACTCACCGATTCCTATTAACTTGTGATCTTATTGGTATATCCACCCTCCTCTGTCTCTTCACAACCTCACTGTCATTGTGCGGCCCAATTGTATTTAGCGAATAAGATTTCCCCGGCAGTGGCTGTATACGCATGGCCATGTGAGAGTATTTCGAGAGGGAGAGCGGACTTTCCACACCCTTGACCGTACCAGGACACTTGAGGGTATTACTGAACGTAAAACAGTGGCAGCAGTAAAACTCCTAAGCGTTCTACTTAGTCCTGGAAAATTCAAGAATATATTTCAGGGACAACTGCTAGTCAACCGTCAAAATCATATCCACCACGAGATAGCTTGATACGATAAACGAAATGCTGTGGAAACGGCAGTGATAACCACCAGAAACTTAAACAAAAATGTTAGGGACAACCAGCCGATTTCAGTGACGTCTACAGAACCGATAGATACTAAGGATCTCATCCTATCTGGCTCCGAAGACAATGAGGGGCTGAGACAGCCCAGACGTAGGCTGACTAAAAGCCTACACAGTGATCGTGAACAATGGTGGGTAACAAAAGCAAAAGAGACGGAAAATCTGCGGCTACATGTAGCAACAGACAACTACTCAGTTATCGAGGAAACCGGTATTAAAAATCTGGCTATTAGTGAAACTACCTCGGGAAAAGACAGGAATATCACTCACTCTCAATCCATGAGATTGGATCAATGTGGAGAACACCTTAGGGGACAGTTCAACTAGCCTTCGATCACACTTCAGTTACCCACTATCTCCAAGTAACCTGAATCGCAAACTGATGTAAGTCGTCCTACTCAGTGAGTTTGAAAAGACTAAGTAATCTAAAGATAGGGAGATCAGCTGAGTCTGATGGACTAAGCCCTGAGACTTTTACGGATGGTAGTCCAGTTTTAGCAGTTTGATTAACTGAGATCTTAGCTAGAATCTGTGGACTGTGAGTAATCCCATCCGACTGGTTTTGATCTCTGATCATTCCAGTTTACAAGGAAGAACACAGACCGTCTAGTTACAATAACAGAGTACTCGAAGAATCGGTCTTATATATTTGGACTAGAGAGTAAAGATTGCCCAGGTTAGGAGTAGAGAACTCGCTAGGAATGAGAAATTGGTTGGTTTTATTATTATTATTATTATTATTATTATTATTATTCACAAACATCTTATGGGTACATAAGTGTTGTGAAGAAACCATTTCGGGTTTCTTCAGAAAATGCAATTATACACAATTCTCAATAATGTTAGCATTATACTTGCCATATTTAAAAAAAAATAATAATAATGAAAATAAAATAGATAATTGAGAATAATAATAGTAGAGTATTAATAATAATAAATGGGGTCTTTGTAATTGAGAAGAATATTGAATTGGGTTTAAAGAAGGAAATGGAGAAAATAAGAGAATAGAAATAAAGGAGACATGAAATACGCAAACAGTCTAATAAGCGTGTTTATGAACACAGAACAAGAATAAACGACTATGTGTGTATCGTTAAATTAGTAACAAAAAATAATTAAGAAAAAATAACTTATAATTGCAGTAAGATATGACGCTAGAATATAAATGTCTGTGCAGTCACATAGTTTGGAGTGATGCTATGAAAGTCTCAATTAAATGAAAAAGGTAATAAAATATCTATGTGTATGAGTAGTCATATATGCATAGTGAAGATAAAACACAAGTTATTGTCTTAATTAAAAACTTCGTAGTCTTAAGAATATTTATTTAGAGGGAAAGAAAAGAGAAAAGAAGTGAACACCTAGTGAAAAGTTTTGATCCATGATAAGAATAATAATTGTGTAATGAATATCAACCTCAGAAGGAAACCAACAATTTAGAAAAAATAAGATAAAAATCCTTTAATGCACTCGGATAAATAGCATGTAGATTTATGTAATAATATACAGAGTGAAAGCGAACATTAGTATAAACAATTGTTCAATAATAATTAAGATTGATGCTATGAAAGTCAAGATTGATTTCAAAGGACAATTTGGAGTTAAATATGTTTAGAAGGGTAAGAAGATACAAAAAGAATATCTAATGTGTCGGGGAACTAATAATGATATTAATAACGGTAATAATGATAAAACACGAACATAATCAGACTTCATATATTAAGATAAAGAGAAATAAAACAAAATAGACGTGAAAAGATTTAAAGGTTTTATTTTGATTTTCAAGCAATTAAATAAATGACGGACCTTGTTTGTATAAATCATTATTGAATACATTGATATTCAATAGGTGGCATAATCCACTTTCGGAAAGAAAATCGTCAAGGAGACTTTTGAACCGGGTTGTAGTTTCACTGCAACGGAGGTTCACTGGCAGTCTGTTCCACATGGTTGAGTAGCGAATAAGGAAAAAATTCTGACGTAAGTTTGTGTGGGTTCTTGGAATCGCTAGAATATTCTCCTTATTGCGTAGATTGTGGGACGATATTATAAGGTATGAAGGGGTAGATACCGATGAGTAGGAAATACCGTTAATGAGCCGGTAGATAAAGACAAGATTTAATTTGATACGTCTGATCCAAAGAGGTTCTAAGTTGAGTTGTTGACATCTTTGGTAGTAGTCTTTGTTATCGGAATACCCCAGAACAGCTTTGGTGAACTTTCTTTGAACACCTTCAATTCTAATCAGATCATTATGTCTACAATTACTGTAAACTAAAATACCATATTCAAGAATGGGCAAGACACATTTTCTGTATAGTAACAATCTCGATTCGATATTATTGAAGTTTATCATTATCAATCCGATGAGCTTTCTAGCTTTGGATACTTGAGATATAATGTGTTCAGAAAAGTTCAGACTATTGCTATATCTTAAACCCAGGTCACGAACAGTGTTGAGAGGTTTGAGTGTATGTGTCTGTACAGTCAGATTTAAGTTAAGACAGCGACCAATGTGAATAAATCCGCTTTTGTCAACATTAATTGGCATATTCCACGAAATAGTCCATTCGTACAACTTGTTTATTTCCTCCTGGATTATCGCAGAAATATAGCTTTCTTTCGTGGGAGAAGAGAATGAATAAACTACTTTCAGGTCATCAGCAAAAAGGAAAGGCTTACCATACTGAAAGAGGGAACACACATCATTGATAAAAAGGAGAAAGAGCAATGGACCAACCACACTTCCTTGTATAACCCCACTGGTTACATTTACAGGTTTAGAGTAGCAAGATCCATAGCGAACGATTTGGCTACGTTCTTCTAAAAAAGATTTGAGCCAAGATAAAAGGGGATTCTGTATGCCAAATGAAGAGAGTTTTAAAAGAAGAAGTTTGTGTGAGACACTGTCGAAAGCTTTACTAAAATCGAAGTAAAGAATTATCACTGACTGACCAACATCTCTTCTCTGGGTAATTTGATCAAAAAACTCCAGGTGCGATGTGAAACATGAGCGTTTAGTCATGAACCCGTGTTGGGATGGGCTGATCAGACTAGCTGAAAGTAAAAATGATAGTAGCTGTTTGTGAATGATTTTTTCCATGGTTCTTGAGAGCACGGATGTCAAATTAATTGGCCTATAGTTAATAATATCACTACGTGGTCCTGTTTTGAATCTAGGGGTGATAAGGGATGTTTTCCATGCAGATGGATAGGTCCCATATTCCATAGACAGATTGAAAAGTTTCAAACAAAATAGTGGAAATTCTTTACTTCCATATTTCACAAATGATGTAGGTATCCCGTCAGGTCCACCATCATAAGACTTTTTCAGGGTAGTTATGGCCTGCTTGATGTTGGAGGGTGTGAAATCAATTTTCGACAGATGTCTGGATGTTAGCATTGGAAATGAAATGATGGAGTTTTCAGTTCCAGTTTTGTAGCACTGCGAGAATTTCTTGCTGAATTGTTCGCATATAGTATTCGGGTCGTTAACAATGCTTCCGTTAACTATGAAGAATTTAGTCGTGCCAAGGGAATTTGACTTTACACGGGATTTAAAAAGTCGAAGTATTGATAATTCTGGGCTTTTACTACGTAGAGCTTTATTTTCTATATTCATGAAATACTTATGTTTAGATGAAGCATTTCTGTCGATTAATTTAAGTATACTCTGAAGTGCATACACATCATTCTGTTCATAGTAGCGGTATTTTAATTTCCTCAGCTTTCTTTTAAAAGTATTTTGGCCCCTATTAGCATTATAAGCCACACGGCCAATAACTGGAGCAGTGCAGTCAAGACAATATATCAGGTTGTGATATAGATTGGAAAGCGCAATGTCAACATTATTTGTGGTAAAATAAGTTTCCCATGGTAAACATCGAATGAGAGTTTCAGTCCGTTTCCATGTTTGTTGATCAAAATATCTGCTCTGGTACGTCGTTGAAGTTTTAGAGTTCAATTGTATGGCGTTTAAAGAGTGAATAATGCTCAATACAACTTTATGGTCACTCATAAAAAACTCATGACTGGTATGCACTGAGATAGAGTCTATGTTGATTGTGAACATTAAATCAAGTGTATTATTCCCCCTGGTTGGTTTTCGGACCTGTTGAACCCATCCACAAATTTCTAATGTTTCAACTAGCTTGTTATATCGACCTGGCACCGGAGTCAAGCCCCATGTAATTTTTGGCAGATTAAAATCACCTCCGATGATTTTAAAAGTATGAGGTTGATGCGAAGCAATGGAAAATATGTTTGTTAGTAATCTGTCAAACTTAGTATCCGCATGAGGTGGTCTATATATGCATCCCACCAGTAAGTAATTTTGGGATCCACAGTTTACAGTAACCCAAGTAGAGTCTTCTATAGCATCAAGGGATTTATCCTCAAATTTGCACGCTTGAATGTCTGAACGTACATAGATAATTGTACCGCCTCCTATTCCATAACATCTATCGGTTCTAAAGAAAACGTAGTTATCTACATTCAAGGAATGATCGGATATGGATGAATTACACCACGTTTCCGTAATAAGTACAATGGTTGGATTTACAAGGAATAAAAGAGTTTTAAGATGAATAATTTTATTGGACAGAGAGCGGGCATTGAACGAAAGAATAAGAAACTCAGAGTCATCATAGTGAAGTAGGTTGGAGTATAAATCGCAATTGGTAGTTCCATGAATACTCATAGGATTAGCTAAGGTAAGAGTTGTGTTGCGAGGGGAAAAAGATTCAACCACTTTGTCATCATGTGAAATATGTTTACCGTTGCCGGCAGGAAAGCCGGCGGAATTACAAAAAAAGTTTTCTCATTGCTGTTGGATCTAACATCTGATAAGGGCATAGTGTACATATTGGGAGCCGGACCAAGAAGGCTATCAGGTCTATGGTTTTGACCAAGTGGCCAATTACAATTCAGATAACTATTTATACCTGACGTATGGGTAACGTGTTTAAGACGTTTATTTCCAAGGGTTGTGGTTGATTTCGGCTTCTTCATATGTTGGAGGGGATTGTGTACTGTTAAACATACTTGCGATGGTTTGCGAGGTTCGAATATATCAACGTTAAGTGCGTGGTCAGTTATATGGATGTTATGATTAGTTTTCCTGTTATCCGTTGCACAGTTACTGTAACTGGGTGTTGCACTAACAGGGGTTTGGATTGTGTTATCCCATTCTTCATCAGCACAACTACTTCGGGTTGAATCTAAGTCAACATTCTCAAGAGGATGGACACCACATACATCGGGATTACTTTCTTCTGGGTTTTGAACTTTAGGAGATTCAGAAGAGTTTTTCGGTGACGGCAAAATTGTTAAGCTAGACGTCCCCTTAGAATCGGACTTAACTTTACGACCATTAGGATTACGATGCGTTTGAGAGTTTGACGCTGGTGGTCGGTAGTTATCTCTTCCTGCTTTTCGCTGGCATGGTGTTTTATCCGGAAGAGTCTTAATATCCTTGAAAATCTGTTTTTGTCTCAATGAATTGGAGGAATTTAAAAATTCACTGGCGTCTACAGATGAGTTGAATTTGAACAAGATCGGTGAGTGCATACCAGGATGACTTCTTTTTAATCTTGTGCATACACATGGTACGTGTGTCATATTGCTGGCTCTAAGGAGACTAGATTTGATATTTTTAAGGGCATGTGTATCCGGTATATTAAACACAATTGCATTACTAGATCGTCTTATTCTTTCAAATACCTCTGATGCAACACGATCTAGGAAAATATTTATGTCATTCATTTGATCTGGAGTCTCTGTGAGGTTGGGGTTGATGAGATATTTAAGCGGGTTGAGAATGTTCATGTCTACTTGCAAATTTTTTATAGCATCCATATGGTTGCAGTTGCGATTATCATCACTGTTTACCATCAGAGTTTTCAACATGTCTGGAATGGAGACAACTGGTAAAAGCTTGTCTGCTTCCAGATGAACGGAGTGGCTCGTCTCGTTGAAACTGTTGGAAATCGTGTCAGTAGTGGTGTTAAATTGTGTCGTTTTCCTACGTTTGGCTGGACGCCTAGAAGCAGGGGTCTTCATTTTCTTTTGTGGCATGATAAGAAAGTGACGTATAGCAGGTGGATTGAACAGAATGTTGGAAATAGAAAGGGGTGAAAAAAAAAAAACCAATTCCAAGGGCTCAAGTTAGTCTAAAAATCAAAATCTATGTTTTAACCAAGGGTCAATGTATCGTGAGGATTAGTGGTGTTAAAAACAGATGACAATGGCAGGAAGATAGTAGTGGAGATGAAGTATTTATGTCAGTATCTGTGTGGAGGCAAAATAGAATATAAAGGAGCAAGTTGTATAAATTTTAACACATATGACATGAAAGATAGCCTTATATGGTAAAGTAATTTAGAAATGTCAATAATTAGTAACAAACAATCAAAAAAGTACGGTACGTGATACATATATAAACTGAAAGTCCGTATTAGTAAAAATTGGGAGGTGCAGAGACAAGTAGTTTAGAAGATTATTACCGTCTAAGATTATTATGTTGCTTCTTGAACAAATATATGAAACAGCTTTTTGGAAAAAAAATACTGTCAGAAAAAAAAACTATGACAGACTTACCGAATTGGACAGGTAGCTTTGAAAATTAAATGATTTATAGTATCCAAATACGATTTAAATGATAGTTCATAAAATAGTGAATACAGTCCTTTAACATACACGGTTATATATATTTCTTGATATTAGGTAGAGGTTTGAATAGATCCTGTAGATACATAAAGTACGTGGGTTAAAGTATTCAAATACGATATAACCATATATTCCTTAAGGAATAGAATACAGATATGAAATACAAATCTTCGTCAAATATGATTATGAATGGTTTCAAAGTGACAGAGTATAGGTTGATCGTATAGTCAAAATGAATATATGTAATTAGATTATTATGAATTATTGTATGAATATGGTCATAAATACCGTAAGTTAAACTCAGAACTTATCATATGGCATGAAATTCACAGTTAATATGTTAATAGTTAGAAATAGAGTTAACTTCTATAATTCCAAGAAAAAATAATTCATCCAGCTCTGCGAGAATCCTAGAAAAATAAAACTAAAAACCTCGGCCTGAAAGTAACGTCACGTCCGTAGCGCGCGCGGTTCAATTTTCTCCAGTGTAAACTGGCATGCCTCATGTAACAAACTGTTATTTGAGAATATATTATTATTATTATTATTATTCAGCGACGGAAAACAATTCACAATGTGGAATTTGCTGGGACTTCATCCCTACCTCATGTACAAGCCACTGCAGTCGGTATTTCAATATGGTGACACTAATTGAATTATCGTCACTGTTGCTGAACACATGTTCCCGAACCTCCACATTATTAGCATGGTGTTTCCATTAAACGATAGTAACCCTTCAGAGAAACCATGATCGACCGAAGAGAGTCGCTTGACATGCTCAACTTGAAGAGATCAGGTTTTATAAACATAGAACAAGACTACTCTCACCGACGTATTGTAGATTCGACCTTCTACAGATATTAGCATTATGGAGGCAACAAAGATGGCCAAGGTTGGCATAAAATGCTCTGGCTTTGATCATACGTGAATTAATCTCATCACTGGCGCCACCACCAGGACTTACACAGCTATCTAGATACACGAACTTCTTGACTAATTTTAACTGCTCGCTGCCTAGTGTGAATATAGGTACAGGGTGCTTCGTTTTATCAATCTTTATGTGTTTAGATAAATAAATACGTCCTGAAGCGACATTTGGGTGGAGTGAAACGTAAATGTTAGCACGGTTGTTCAAGACGGTCAGAAGACTCTATATTATCTCAGTGTCTTCACCGAATTGGACTATCATCTGTATATCCCAACTCGACAAGTTAGTCTCCCGATATATTTATTCCTGCAAAGTTGCACGATGAGAGCGTTGCCTTTAAAGAAATGTTTATGGCCACTTGTGTTCAAATAGAAAGCCTGTACTCGGTTAATGTAATTTGGTATGACACTGTCATAAAACCTTGTCGATCAATGGAGTTAAGTGCTACCCTAAAAATTTCATGTTCTTAGATGTAAGTCATGCTCACAATTTGACTTACTTCAAGTCACGAAACTTCAAAGATACATTTCTCTAATCATTGGGTTATCACAAAAATATGTTTATTTGAAACTATCAATTCCAATCTCGGCATTTATTAAATGAAGCTTTCCTTTTAGAGCATCTCGATAGTCAAGTATTTTGTTGTTAAAATGGCCGGTAACGTAAGTATGATGAGTGGAAAAGACTTCCTTTTTAGAATCCTGTTGACCACAGAAGAAAATGGGACAAAGCTCATTTTGAGAAATTTGCGACGGAGAAGGCGGGATGAATGAATTGAATTAGCGTTGTACAGCCAGTCAAATGTCACTAAGCATTAGCCAAATCATCTGTCAATTGTGTCAATTAATATTGAACAAATCATCGATCCCTGCCAAGTTCAGGGACAATAAGCGCGCGTTAGTTAATCGTACGTCATGGACTTGCCAGTGCGGTGCTGGCCCTGCTCTCTTTTATATCTACTTTAACTAATATATTTCTATAATAACGTCCTCTGTGTTGTACAGTCCTCAAAGCATCTATGGTACCTTGATACGTCAATGGGGTAGTCCATGTAAGGTGCTGAACACGAGGTGTGACCTAGACGTTAGCTGGTTCATCACATCATTCTCGTCTAATACAAAAAGGCCTACAATCATTCGACATAAATCATCTACGCTGGTGATTTACATTGAGAATGGTCGGACGGCATGGCTCGGCCTTGCAGGTGTGGTCAGTCTACACAACCTGCTTTTACTCATATTAAATATAGTGTTATATCTCCGGCCTGGATGTATTCGCCACCATACATACACGCATTGCACGAGATGGCACCAATGGCGTAATGAGAAAGACTGGATCCAATAGTATTATTTAATAATAATCCAGGCCAAAATCCAACGTAATGTACGAAGGCTCAAAAAGACGTTATAACACTATTATAGTCTTCAATCAAAGGCCGTGGCCAATAAAGCAGAACAGACAGCGTTTTATATTATTAACCAATGCGGTAGAATATTTGTATATAAGTATCCAAGCAATTATAATCGTTTTTCAACAAGTGATACAGAAAAACAATAGATATTGGATAAAAATGTGGTTACATATAAAGTGTGACAAATTAGAGAAGAAATGCGGTTTTTATTTTGTGGTTACAAAAATCACTGAATATACGTCACCTTACTATCCTCATCTGAACTAACATCCAACTGTGCAAGATTCAACTCCATAGTGACGCCAATATGATAACTGCAAGTATTCGAATTAATGTGCTAACTAGGAATCCCCGAAATTTTGTAATATACAACAAGTAGAGCTAGATGAGCACAAATGAACTTATTATATTTGTAATTAGTAATCAGCGGGCAACCAAGTGCGAAAGAAACATTTTTTGTACAAATACAACAGGATGTCATTCACAGGTTAGTATTATTCGATCACAGATGCCTTCGAAACATTGCCCGTGTATTTTGGGACCATAGGCTAAATAATTACTGGGTTAGGAGTAGAGTACTGTGTAAGAACGTAAATAGATTGGCGAATTAATAAGTATTTGTCAAGTGAAACTTTTAGTGATGGAAATGCAATAGATCTGGTTCTTTGTCTGTTTAAAATTTTGAATTGTTTAGTTTACCTGCTCATATCAATAATAAAATGTACACGCCTTAAATTTTACTCCTATTAGACGTTTATTTTCATACTGTATTAACGTCGTCAGTTGACTGAAGATAAACAATGTTAAGTTGTATGTTTCACCGGTAGAACCACCTTACTACTTTTGTTGAGTCAACAATGATCACAAGACAGGTATGACCACTGAACGTTCACTGAGGAAATGCTCTTGATGGATCCATGATTTGCAGACTGCTTTAATAATATTCTTCACTGTTAATGTGATGTACGCAAGTAAAATACACATAAGTTGATTTCGTAATTATTTCAACGTGCACACATTGCTGGGAACACGATTATTAGAAGGAAAACAGAGCATAAAGTATTTATCCTCCATCATTTATGAATGATTTACCATTCAACATACTATTCTTTGTTACACACTTTTGTATCTGATTATTATGAATATGATTAAATATTTTAAATCCTTGAACAATCACCTTTCAGCTACTTGTTTTGCGAAGACTGTTTTACAAAAATTTACCGGCGTTTATCGGTAATAAATATTCCGTATCATCATAATAAATGTGATACAACTATTGATGATCGTGATAAACATGAATTCAGTAGGAAAGTGTAATATTTCTAGGGAAATTGTTATTGAAAAACTATAAAATTTTATGAAGCTAATTAACCGTCAAATTCCCGGAAGTTATGCACATGCTATCAAAAACGACAAATTTTTGGGTGAATTTGTCCTTAAAATGGTTTGAAAAGGTAACATTCAAATTCAGATCTTATCATTCTGGACACTAACTAATGATCTCAACAGACTGTGCGTCATCAGTAAAAACTAAGAAAATAATAAATTTTCATAAGTAAACAATACAAGATATTAAATAAGTGTTCACTATAACCATTATTAAAATATAATTTTTCCTGAACGAAGTGACAAGTATAGTAGGACAATGAAGACACAAACTTCAGTGAAGGGATGCTTTTTTATTGAAGTTATTATCACGTTGTACAATCTTGTTATTATATGAAAATATGTTTCTAGTATTAGTTATACCAGTACAAATTAATAAACAATAAACGTGAAGAGATATAGAAAGCCAATAAACTTGGGTAAAATAATGTAAGTGTAAAACATTGTGTCTGCAAAAGAAGCCCAACAAAATTAATAGGTCTTCAATGTATTCTAAAGTGAATGTGTATTCAGCATGCTAAGTGCCTTACAGTGAGATAACTATATCTCTCATTACTTTGTGACTCGCTACGTGTAGTCACATTTATATTCAATAACTATCTCAATCCTATCCATCAGTGGAGATATTCAAACAGCCAAAAATATATTTGTGACCCTAAATCTGACTCCAGTTAGATCGTTTCTGATTGTTATCGAAATATATATGCAGCCAATCCTCACATATGATTATAGACCGAATTCGAGTTAGTGAATAACGTAATTAAATGATTCAAACACGAGAATGGATTACGAATATGTGCATTAAATATGACTGTAGCGTGGCGTCGAGTCGCGGTAGACTATGAAAACCACTACAGAGAAACACGTGCCAAAGAAATCAGAAGGCGAAGGTTGAATGTAACCAGATTTATTCGGTTGGTGGTCTCGTGGTATCGAACGAATACCGAGATCGTGCCAAGAAATGGTACAAGCGAGAGCAGGAGAATGGAGTACGTGCGAACAGTACCAAAAACCGCGGAACAATGATGGAAGGTAATGGAAGCACAAAAATGGCTGCAATTAGCACAGCTAAGCAAATGCACATTAAAACAAGCATTGGTACAGTTGGTTATAACAGTAAATGTCTTAATTAAACCAGTCATGTTCTCGTGATAAAAGTGAGTCACTACAGGAGCTCTCAGCTAGAAAGGGTTTGCACTTTCGATAAATAGCGGTTTAAATCGTGGGACTGATCGACTGACGAGCGATTGTAGGACGGAAGAATTGGCGGAACAGGAAAGCGATCATTGATCCTCGAGTTGCCAACGAAATTCTTTTTCGGAGAACGGTACCAGGGGCGATGTTCTGTGTTTGTTACTCGAGTTGGCATACCACACCAGAGTGGTTTGTATCCAGAATCTGAAGAGGGCGTTCGTAGGGATGCGAACCAGAAACGCTGCAGACGTAGGACGAAACCACGTTGAGCCGAGAAACCGGAAGCGACCGTAACGACCAAGTTCGAGACCAAGCGAATGCCGAACATTCGAAACAAATTATCGACTGAGTGCGTTGACAAGAGCGTAGGTGATCAGACCAGCTTTCGCCATAGTTGACTGAAGTCGACGGAACCAAACGGGGATGGTCGAAGGGGTGGGTTCAGGAAACAAAATGAAAATCAAAACGAGAAGGGTGTAGCATGCGTGTAGTATAGGAATAATCCTACACCTTATCGGTTGTTCACTGTGCGACTAGTCGCAGAAGCGTAC